TGTACGGTTGATCAAGTGCGCAGCCGTTAATATACTTTCTCCCCAGAATTTCGTTGGAAGCAAAGATTCAAACAGAATTGCCTGAGCTACATTCAAGATATGGCGATGCTTTCTTTCCACTCTACCATTTTGCTGGGGCGTTCCTACACATGAGGTTTGATGAAGGATTCCTTCCTCACGAAAACCACTTGTAAGACAAGTAAATTCTGTCCCATTATCACTTCTGATTATCTTAATTCGTTTGTCAAATTGCCTTTCAACCATTGCCATGAATTCACGCAGAGTTTTTCCTACTTGAGTCTTGTTTCGCAGCAGATAATCCCACACTCCTCTCGAATAATCATCAACGATCGTGAGGAAATAGTATGAATTACACAAGCTGGCAATCCGATAAGGCCCCCACAAGTCAACATGGATCATATCAAAAACACTACTGCTTTTATTATCACTTGAATGAAACATGTCTCGACATTGTTTTGCTTTCAAGCAAGTACTACAACTGGAAAAATTTCTAACTCTAGAGCCAACAACTGGAAGCAAATCAAAAACAGTATTAGACGGATGTCCTAGCCGTTGATGCCACACATCTTCAGCCTCGTCTTTATTCAATCGGAAAGTATTAAATCTTGTCAAGCGACGGAAGTAATAAAGCCCATCTCTAAGCTCCCCCACTCCACTCAGGTTCCTCGTTGTACGGTCCTGAAGCACACAACCCTTGTTAGCAATTTGCAAGACAACATCCAAGTCCTCAATAAGCTGAGACACTGATATCAAATTGCACTTTAAATCGGGCACAAACAACACGTTTTTCAGCTCAAACTCATCATCAAAGAAAACTGTTCCCTTTTCTCGACACAAACTTTGTGTCCCATTTGGCAATCCAACAGAGCACGGAAGAACATATTTCTGATCAAGTAAGGACTCTCTATAACCTGTCATGTGATTAGATGTCCCAGTATCCAAGACCCATTCCGAGAGAAAGGACTTACCGTTGAGTCGTGGCGTGGTGGATTTCTTCTCATCCAGCAACTTGAACAGCGTGGTCCACTGATCATTGTTCAGGCCAGAGTATCCATGTTTTTCTGCATCAGCGCTTGTTTCTCCCACTGCACTGACCACTGCCGCATTTGCACGAACCATTCCGCCACGGCCTCCACGACCTGAACGTTCTCCACCTCGTCCATTCTGTTGTGATTCTCACCCCACCAAGATGGATGTCCTATCACTTGAAAACATGTCTCCTCAGTGTGACCTGTCTTCTTGCAAACTTTGCATACAAGCTTGCTCTTATCGTCCATCCCAAAACCTTTCGCCTGAGCAACAAAAGTAGTCTGCGAATTTTGGCTTTCTCTCCCTCTTGTCACTGTGTCGATTCTCTCCACAGATTTGACTTTTGCATACACCTGATTCATGTTGGGCAATGGATCAGTGCTGATTATAGAAGCCCTCACTGCTCCATAGATCCCGTCGTCAAGCCCCAACAAGAAATGATGAATGCGATCATCTTCTCTTTTCTTTTCAAATTCTGCACTCAAGTTACAGGTGCATTTTCCACAGTGACAAGTCGGTGCCGGATCGTAGTTGGAGAGATCTTCCCATAACATGTGGAGCTTCCCAAAGTAATCGATCACATTTTGATTCCCCTGCCTCAATCGGACAAGTTCTGCCTTTATCTCTTGAATTCTTGGACCATTTCCTTCCGAGAATCTGTCATTGATCTCCGTCCACAGCTCCTTTGGATTCTCCTTATTCGCCAAAGTCCTCCTGATCTTGGGATCCACCGTGTTTAGTATCCAGAGAGACACCATGGAGTTTGCTGATACCCAGTCTTCATACTCCGGTGCATCATCTTCTGGTTTCACCATAGATCCATCTACGAATCCAAACTTCTTCTTGACTCGCAGCGCCGTTCTTATCGCTTGAGTCCATTCGTCAAATTTATCTCCATTGAACTGCACCTGAGCGATGATTGCTCCAGGATTTTCATTGGCCGCCAACTGGTATGTTGTGCCACCATCTTCACTTGTCCAATCATTTTCAAATCGGATTTTGTTTCACCGCTCATTGTACTCGAAATTGTTTAGAACCTAGGTTCTGATACCATGTAAAAGAGAATACAAGAATGGTGAATTTTCTCTATGTTTATTGACTATCGAAGATTACAATATATATACAAGAACAAAGTAGATCCCTCTTCAATCTCAGCCATTAAGACCCATATATACAATTGCCAAAAAAATAGAGCTTCCAGATATACGCAATATTTTCTTCTTCCCGCTCAAGTAAATATTCCCGCTTAACAAAAAACAATAAAATTGCGGCGACACCTTTTTCTGAATCTCTTAAAATTTATAAACGCTTGGAAAGATGATAATGCAACAAGAAAAAGACATGGTTAAGGTTTATTATGACCAAAAGACGAGCTGTTCATGACTAAAACAGTAGATTCTTGAGCACTAAAAGAACAATCATTATGAAGCAAAGTATAAGTAATATAGTCGCACATTTCACCATTGCTCCTTCTCTTTGTGTTCTCTCCGCCTACATTCAAAACAAAAATGAAAATATGTCTCTAATGAGTACTCTAAAGGTTAAAAAAAAACCAGTAGTATCACAACGCCTTCAGAGATTTTTAGTAAAGAACCAAACCTTTTGTAGCTGTTTATAGCCTTCCTCTACCGATGTTGAAACATTTTGGATATTGTAGTCTATTCGATCCACTATCGTGCCCTGATTGATACAAGAATTCAGTAATAAAAATTGTTCAGAGATATAACAAAACAAAAGAACTGAAAAGCTTCTTTACGTAGATTTTTATATGCCTAAATGATTTGAGCTTGAAACCTGGTCAATCACAAGAGCTGATAAGTCCTTCATTATCTGCGCAAGGTCATTCACGGACCCCAAGACCTAGAAGGAAATCTGAAGTTAGTCACCATGGAAATTGTACAAGTTAATGTAAGTAACATCTTCTCATTTACCTGCTGAATCTCTCTTTCCCTTTCTGCTGGGACATGTTGCCCTTCCTTCAACTTGACTGTCTGGTGTTCATTAAAACCCTAAAATTTATAGAAAGACCACTGATTCTCATTATTTCTGATAACTGAACCACTCTAGCTTGAATAACAACAAGAAGTACTTCTAATAGGAAATGATAAATAGGAATTAAGCACTTACCATCCCACCAAGTTCATCATCTTCATCAAGTCCCAACATCTTTCCGTTCATATTAAACTCCAAATCTAGTCCATCCTGGCCCTATCATTTGAGAAGCCAAATATAGATAAGAGCGTTACATGCATGCATATCCCACGAATCAAATATTTGTTTATTTCCTGAAGAAAAAAAAAAAAGAATACCTCTTTCTGCTGCTGCAGACGTTTCAAGTAAGTAGATTGTTTTCTGCGGAGCTCCATGGAGAGGTTTTGAAGATCTGTTGCAAGAGAATGCTGTCAAAAACAGTATGTCAAAGAGTAGGTCAAGTCCATTGGAGAGTCCCACTACACATGTAAACAGAACTTTAAACCTTATACACCAAACGTAAACACACACACAAAGTTCACATCTGATCCTTTGAAAGCACAAGCTGAAAACTGGAGTAAGTCCAACAATTTACCTGCACATTTTTCCTAAGATTTGATTCCTCTGAAGGCCCTCTAGTAGATAACTTGTGCAATCTCTTCTCTGACTTCCTCAACAGATCCGTGATTTCATGAGTGAGCATCTCGACAGCACGTTGATTCCCTTTGTTGTCTCCAAATGTAGGCATCAGGGCCTTTGAATGAGCCTTTGCTAATTCACCCATTTTGTCTCGCACCTTTTGTATATTAAAAGTTATCTCCTCAGAATCGTCTACCCAAGCTGGTGGGAGACCAATCGTGAACGCATCGCTACTGCAAACGTTCCACAATAACAATCAAGTTTCAAATTTTTTGTTCATGAATACAAAATAAGGTCACAATTCAACGCAATGGATCAAAAAAATAGAAAACTGGCATTTGCATTCCTAGAATTGTACTTCCTTCCTCCACTTTAAATCACTCTGCAACCTAATTCGCCTAGGGTTCTAAATCCGTAGCTAAGCTTTCTCGAAACAATCACGATTACAATTCGTATCTACCAGATTACCATTACAAAACGAGACGGAACGAACAAGAAGAACCCGAAAATTACCTCGAAGGACCAGGATCACTGGAATTCAAAGGAGCATAAGAAGTGTGATTAGACCGGGAAAACGAGCCGCTAACCATTTCGATCACGGGACCACCGAAGGAATCAGACGCCGATAGAGATAAAGGAGCGCGCGCGCTCTTGCACGCATCCCTGTGCTTCCTGTACACCGTCGTTCGGTTCCTCGTCGCCATCAAGCAATATCAATCTCCAAACAATCGAATCTCCAAATTTAGGGATTTTTCTATCACAAGATCGAAATCCGAGCTCAGATTTCACGAACTGGTGTCGTCGGGAAAAAAGCTGTGAATCTGAATCGGAAAAAAGTTTCCGCTTTAGCGCGTGATGAAGACTTAACGACAAAGGCAAATTTTTGGGCTTGATAATTAATATGGGCTTTAAGGCCCATTTTAAATAGTTTGTGGAGCACACGTTTGAAGACGATGAAAGCACTAGTAAAAAAGCTAAAAGACTGTAAGAAGACGAAAACACCACGAGTTTCCCATGCAAACTCGTGGCGGCTAAAAGTCAACAGAGGGACGGGACGGGAGTGTGTGGTTCAGACTTTCAGAAGGTAAAATCGTTTAGTGACCAAGTAGGGGGTAGTTTAGTCATTTTGACTTTCCATCAATAGATTCATGTCCATGGATTCTCTCGCCAGAGAAAAAAACAAACACTCATTTAAAAGGTCTCGCCTTTATGGTCTGTTTCCTCGCACTTTCTGACAAAAGAGGCTCTACAAAGTACTGACCAGGAGGAAGACTATCATTTGATTAGAAAAATGATCTGAGATTTTCAATTCAGGTTTTTGTTTTTGGATTCTGAATCAAATGGAAGGAGATTTGTTGGGCATTTGTGGGTTTGATTCTACGAAGAAATATCGATTAGAACAACTTGCCAAGTATCAATCTGGTTAGTTTCAAATATCCCCTCTTTCTCCAGATCGTAGGACTTTGCTTAAAGTATTGAGTTTGTATCAAGTTTCATTTTTTGGCCATCAAGGTCTCTTAGGGTGCTTGTTAATGGAGAAATGACAAGTTTTTTATCCTCCAGTGGTTGAAGTTAATTTTTGTGATGGTGAACTTTTTTTTAGGTTCCTGTATTGAGTTTGAAGATGTTGAAGGAGATTATGACATGGCAGTGGATTATCCGTGTCCATTTTGCTCAGATGATTATGATTTAGTTGAACTGTGTCACCATATCGACGAGGAGCATCAACTAGATGCTGCTAACAATGGGGTAATTCCAATTTATATATATATCCAAATTCATTTACTGTTTTTTCTTATTAGACATTGAGTCTTCAGATGAAACAGTTACAAGTTGTCGGTTGTTTCATTGTCCTAGAGTGCTTAGGTAAGATTGTGTGATTTTGTAACGAGAGTTGGTAGGGACTCCTTGGAATTTTGTTAACTTGTATTATCTGCTTTGATGTTATGAGGAGACATTTTGCAGTTGTGAGTAGTTGGGAGTGGGAAACATTTTAGCTCAATCCTCGAAACCTTTTAGAGCTTAGAAAGAACGAAACTTTTGAAACGTAGACCTGTTAAGGATTCTCTGAAGTGAAATTAGTCTTGGTTCTGGTGATGAATGTATGGTTTCTTACAGATTAGCCTTGGTTTGTGATGTAGGTATGTCCGGTTTGTAGCAGACGAGTGAAGATGCATATGGTTGATCACATAACCACGCAGCATAGAGATGTTCTGATGATATCCTTTCTTTTTTTTAACTGACTCTTCTTTCTTTATTATAATCGATGGTATTGTTAAATCAGTTTATCCGCATTTGGGTTCCTTGACTGAAACTTACCTTGAACAAAAGCAGAGACTTCACAAGGATGAGTCTTACTCAGCATTTTCACCAGGGACGAAGAAGTATTTACAGTCTCTAATCGATACATCTAAAAGTGTTCCCGACTCATTACTATCATTTGTCTACAACCCACCGTTACAAAACCAGCCCAAGCTCGTACTGCCTGATCTATCAAGTGGAGCAAACATGGCAGACAAGTGCCTTATCAGGGATTCGACAGAAAAGTAAGCACCTTTCCATGTTTTCTTGATTCTCCGTGCCATGTGTCACCTTGTCTAAAAGCTACATTTTGCCTTTCGTTATCTGCGCAGAGAACGGAAATCGTTGTCTCCCTTGTCAGATACTGAGCTAATAGAGAAGGCAAAGAAGAGAGAGTTTGTACAAGGTTTGATATCAACAGCCATGTTTAATAACATGGACGACTTCTGAGTATTGTAATACATTATTTGCACCTTTGTTCTTTGTCAAGTATTTTTATATGAATTCTGGCAAAGTACACTAGATTAGTCTATAATACAAGCCAAAGAGCTTCTGTTTATTTCTTCAAACTTCTACATTGTTTATAACTCATGATCGTTAAGGCCGGAGTTTCCTTAACAACCACTTCTTGCGTAGTTTCACGTCTAGAGCCAAGAAAGTTTTGGCTTTGAGTTCATCTTCAAGCAGATCGCAAGCATCTAATATAAGCTCCTCGTCCATGTCTGGTAACGCTTGAATAGCCTCAACCGCGTCCTCTATTGCCATGGTTTTGGTTTCATCAACTCGAGGCTTCTTCGGGATTATAGGGCTTGTGTCCGTAGTACCAAGTTGATGATCCCTTTTCTTATTAGGTTCAGTCAAAAGAGAGTTGCTATCTTCTTCCTCGGCTGAAAGAGACAAATCTGTTGTTCCACTGGACTTGAACTCTTGAAACTCGGTTTCGGGGTCAAACCAGTCCATAGCTACGAAGCAGTCATTATCCTCGATCCCTGAATCGCCACAAAGCACACACAGATCTTTGTAGTATGGAATTGGCCGAGTCATGAATTGCCTCGCATCTCTATGAGCCTGTAATTGTTTCAGACAAGAACACAACTTTGAAAAAGAAACCAAACACTTAAGCTCAGATCAGACATCATCAGAGCAATCAATTACCTTTATAAAGTCTTGCCAGACATTATCATCGGCTGTAACCATTTGACGCTCATCATCCCAACCGAACCCATCTGATCGAAGAAGACTCTTGATCGCTTTAAATTGTCTTCTCAGAGTCTTATACCGATTCTTCAAGACATCAACATTGAAGTTAGACTCGAACTTGACGTTGAAGAGATTAACCATCTCAGTCCATGTTTGTTTCCTGAAAACACCGTCAATCTGGTTTCCGGTTCTCGCTTGGTCCAACATCAGCTCGATGAAATAGCGGTCCATTGGAGGATGCCAAGTAGTCCTGCACCGTGCTATGCTGCTTCCTTTTGAGTTAGATTTGATCGTTGTTGCTGATTCACATACTCTGTTGTAACCTTCATCTTCCTCAATCAGAGTGTTGGTTTCTCCATCAGTAATATTCTCCTGATCTGAAACACATATATCATAAGACTTAGAATCCAACGGGACACAAGCAGCATATACAGTCAATAAGACTTTAAAGATTGTACCTTTCTGCTCAGAGATTCCATCAGTGTAAATCAAACACAGATCTTTGTAATAAGGTATCGACTTTATCCGAAAAGATCTTAAATTAGTATGACCCTTCAAAAAACATTGACACAACCTCTCAAAAGTTTATTCCAAAAAGAAGAAGAAGAAGAACAACAACAACAACACACTAAACCGCAAAACGCACCTTGAGATACACATCCCAAACGCTGTTATCAGCGATCACCATCTGTCTCGCTTCATCCCAGCTAAAGCCATCTTCTTTCAAAAGATTCTTGACGGATTTGAACAAGTTCCTCAACGTCTTGTGCCGGTTTTTCAAAACATCTTTCCCACAGGGAAACCTGAATTTCGCAGTGAAGGAGGAAGACATGGACTTCCAAGCGCGTTTGCTAAACAAGTGATCCTCGAATCTGTTGCCTTTTCTCACTTGCTCCAACATCAGTTCGATGAAATACTGATCCATTTCAGGCGTCCACACCGTTCTTAATCGCTCAACACCGTTTCCGATAAGTGTGCTCATTGCTTTTCTTCTCCTCCTCCTCTTACCTGCAAAGTTTGAAAACAGAGAATCAAGTAATGAATCAAAAATCAAACTCGCGTGAGACACAGGACCCGGAAATCAAATCCAGATTTATGTAAGAAAATCGAATCGATATTTCAAATAGATTAGCTAGAGAGCAGAAAATGTCGCTTACAGAGAACTCCGAGAGATATCGGTGAGCGGGAATTGGAAGAGTTCCGGTGAGCTTTTAGGGATAAGGTTGTCCGGGATAAGGGTTATTCTCTTCGTGGCTAAGGTTATTCTTTTATTCGCAACCAATTTAGAAGCGCCTTTGTTGGGCTTACAATTTAATGGGCCTAAACATTACGACGTCGTTTGGTCTAGGGTTTGGTTTTGGGCCGAAGGGACGTTTGTTTTGCTTGTCGGATTTACAGAGAGTGTGTCCACTTCCTTCCTCGTCGTCGCCTTCTATGAACCAGAGAGCTTTTGGGAGGTTTATGCAGCGTAGATCAAAACCCTAGAAAATCAGTCTCTTGCTTTGTCTGCAGTTGTCATTTCATCAAGTCGACACAGAATTTCTAAATATCTGGCGATGAGTGGCTTCAACGGAGACTCCATGGACGATTTCAGAGGCCTCCGAATAACTCAGCTCGATGATGATGACGATGAGGAAGCTCCAGTGGAACCGATAAACGTAGACGAATCCGATGATGATGACGACGAGGACGACGAAGATTGCGAACCTGTGATACTGGGTTTCGTCGAGAGTCCCAAGTTCGCATGGTCAAATCTCCGTCAACTGTTCCCTAATCTAGCCGGCGGTGTTCCGGTACTACGTTAATAAAATCCTTTCAACTTTTTTTTTTTTTTCAAATCAGATTCTTCTTCTTAGATATTGATTCTTTAAGTTGAAATTTTGTGATTTAGGCATGGTTGGATCCAGTTAATTTACCATCAGGGAAGTCAATTCTGTGTGACTTGTGTGAAGAGCCTCTGCAATTTGTACTTCAGGTGAGTTTCATACAAACCAATTCGTTGTTCCTCGCATATTTTTTTGGGGGGTCGGTTTATTTACGGGGGTTGAGGGAAAAATGTGGCAGCTTTATGCTCCGATAACGGACAAGGAATCAGCTTTTCACCGGACACTATTCCTCTTCATGTGTCCATCTATGTCTTGTCTCCTTCGTGATCAACATGAACAATGGAAACGTGCCCCAGAGAAGGTTATGCGGAGGTAGAAAAGATCGCATCTTTGTGTTTGGTTTCTCTTCTCTCGAATTGGGTTGTTTCAATAAATCGCTGTTTTTTTTGTTTTTGAAGTGTGAAGGTCTTCCGTTGCCAATTGCCTCGTGTTAATCCATTTTACTCTAGTGAGGCTCCGAAACACGATGGAACAGACAAGCCCTTGGGTCATGGAGGTATCTTATGAACTGATTGATGATGGATTTGAACTCAATCCGGAGAGTTTCTTTATCTTTTTTCTGATTCTTGATTTTGTTTTGTTTCTCTTTAGCTCCGCTTTGTACTTGGTGTGGAACGTGGAAAGGAGATAAACTATGTAGCGGCTGCAAAAATGCGCGATATTGTTCACCGAAACATCAGGTGTGTGTGTGTGTGTGTGTGTGTGTGTGTGCATAGCTTTGTTTTATTGTTCTGATAGATTCCACGCTTGTTAACAAATCTTCTTGTTTCTTATTTCCAGGCTCTGCATTGGCGCGTAGGTCATAGAGCCGAATGTCAACAGCTTCGTGCGGTTCTCGAAACATCTGACTCAGGCCTTGTGGATAATGGGGTTTCTCTGACTCAAAAGCAGAAAGGTTAGCAAAAACACACACACCTTTTCTTAGCCTTGGAACTTTATCTTTATGTGATGTCAATTTTTGTTTCTGTTTGTGCAGTTGCGAGTAAGAGTCTATGGAAAGAATTTGTATTGGTCAATGTGGATGAAAGTGAGTATGATACAGAGATGACAGAAGAAGATGATGAAGTTGCTAAACCTTTGGTCTCAGTGAGAGAAGTTGACGACCAAATGAAATCTCTGATGAAGGATTATGAGGTAAAGCCACTTGTTGCAGCCATTTTGCAATCTATAAATTTGCTCGATTGAGATTCTCAGTTACGTGTTTGTACAGGGAGATGCCGATAAAATTAGTTGGGTTAGTTTCCAGCAACGCGTAGACAAAGCCCCTGAACAAGTCCTAAGGTGTGATTCAAATCAAAACACACACAAAGAAGTTGCGATTTTTTGCATATACCTTATTCTATTCTTAATCCGCATAACATCAATATGTGAATTTCTTTTGTGATACAGATATTGCCGGAGCTCTGAAGCTAAACCCCTTTGGCCAATAGCAAGTGGACGAGTCTCTAAATCTGAGCTTCCCAATTGCAAATCTTGTGGTGGTCCTCGTTGTTTTGAATTTCAGGTACAAAAATTTGATCTTCTCTTCTTTCATAACACTTGTACTAGGTTTACTTATCTTTGTAAACCAGTCAAGACAATTTTTCCCCCAATTTCGTTACATATTGGAAGCTTGTCTCTGTTCTTGATCATTGTAATGGCGGTTTTTTCAGGTAATGCCGCAGCTACTGTTCTTCTTCGGCGCAAATAACGAAAGGGAATCTCTCGACTGGGCAACAATCGTGGTGTACACGTGTGAGAACTCGTGTGAATCGAGCTTAAGCTACAAGGAAGAGTTTGTCTGGGTTCAACTCTACAGTCAAACAACTTAGGCATCTTCTTCTCTCATGTTTTTTCTATTGCCGCAAAAGTTTTGTTCTTCACCGCAATGGACCTAATATTTGTAAAATTTTCATGGGTTATAATTATATTCTTGTTGGTATATTTTGGTTATTTGCTTTAAGATTTCAATTAAGATTTAAAACCTGAAATATATGTACATTTAGATTTATAATAATTCCACGACTTGCCACATCTTGTCTAGCGTGAAATGCTTCGAAAACATTATGATCTATTGAAACTTCTTGGTAATTTCTCTTGATCTTCAACATTTTGTCATAGAGACGAACATGAGAATCGAATTTGAACCAGCTAAATCGTAATTAATGCGCAAAATCTTCAGATATTGCTGTAAGATGATCGGGAAATAAAACAGACTTGAAGACAGAATAATCAACAGAAAATAAAGTCTTCTGAAACAGAGCGTTCTGCTGATAAAAGGTTCTCATATTTGTTGCAAATAAAGTATTTTGACAAAGCTGAATCACAAAAACCGTGCAAAAAAAATACTGCTAAAAGAGAAAAATTAACTATCGAGCAAAGATTCTTCTCACTTCTTAGACCTTTTCGCTGGGACCCTGCAAGAACAAACAACCCATACGATTAAGAGTTTAGAACGTTGCCACAACACAATTAACAGTTTCAGTCAATTATGAAGAAGATCAAATCTTACTCTGCGGTTTGCGCAGGTGGTGCGGCGGCAGGTATGTCTCCTCCTCCAGGACCCTGAAACAAAATCACAAAACCATATTATATGAAATGATCAATGATTCAGTGAGCTTATACAAGCTGGACCCTGAGATGGATTAACCAAACAACATCATATTAGTAAACTTGTATCACCTTGGCAAGACGTTCCTCTCTGCGAGCATGTTTCCTTTCTCGGCTAGCCTTGTTCTTAGCCCTCTTAGCCTCAAACTGGTCAGACAAAGTCTTCTCTCTGGCCTTCTCAGCCTTCGACTTGTGGATGCTCTCCATCAAGACACGCTTGTTCTTGAAGACGTTTCCCTTGACTTTCATGTACATGTCATGGTACATGTGTCTGTCAATCTTCTTCGACTCCCTGTACTTCTTCAGAAGACGCCTCAGAACTCTCATCCTCCTCATCCACAATACCTTTGTTGGCAACCTTGCCTCACGGGTACCCTTTCTCTTACCTTAACCATTAAACCAATATCCACATCAATAATGGTGATTTTTATGGTGATTTTTCAAGTGTCAGGGTCCAAAATGTTACATACCATAACCAGAGTGACGACCCTTCATTTTGGCAATCTTCATACGGCGAGCTCTGGAACGAGAGTGGATCTTCGTTGGCTTCCTGATGATGAAACCATCCTTCACAAGCTTCCTGATGTTTTGGCCTACAGTTACATACCAATCCATAAACCTTAATCAGAACAGAACAAAGATCAATCATCAAAAGCAGATACACGCAAAAGCCATAAACAGCGGTGTACTATAGTGAATCCGAAACCACAAATCCAGTGAAAAAAACCATTTTTTGTTGAAAATTCTTAAAATCGGATGGCTATCTAATAGCAGTATCAATTTTTATCTGAGCTCAAATTCATAAGATATTATTCAAATCATTCAACGTAACACACGAATCAAGCTATAAAAAATCCCTGATTTCCTCTTTTTCTACAATAATCATCAAGAGAAAGGGGAAAACTAAATCCAAACAATAAAGTTAAGAGAAAGAGAAAAAAAGAGGATGAAGAACAGCATACGAGAATTGGCCATGGAGATATCACTCCCTTCGTTGGGATCGAGCCATACTTTCCCCTTCCCGCACTTCAGCACTGAGGCTGCAAGCCGCTTCTGGATCTTCAACGAAACCATTTCTACGTCTCCCTTTCTGGAGATTGATTTTGGCGGAGGAAAAAATTTGCAACGGAGACAATAATCCTTATATATTATGTTTTCTAGGGTTACGCTTCCGCAAAAACCTATCATTTTCTGCTTATTAAGCCCGTTATAGGCCCATCACTGAATTGCACACGTGCGTTGTACCCCTAGGCCCTACCCATTTGTTAAGCTTCTTGCAAACAACAAAGAACCTAAATTGCACCTTAGAAGCCCATCATAGGCCCATTATTGACCTTACAAAATACAAATGTGCGTTCACCTTCTTTCACGTAACAAAAATCTCTCCGAACCCAAAATAAGAAACATGGCAAAAACTAGAAATTACCTAAAAATAGACGTAGAGGAGAGAAAAAAAACACTTAAAAATAGACTAACCCAAAAATACATTTATTTTTTCTAACCTCTTTAAATAACCAATTTTCTATTTGATTCTTCTTTGAAATAATTACGAGAAGAGAGAAAAAGAAACGAAAAAAAAAGATGAAAATGGTCGGAAGGATCTTTCTCCTTTTTCTCTCCGTCTCCGTCACTGTGGTCATCGCCGGAAATGGTACACCACCAACATTCACCGAGAAAGGCAAAGCCTTAGCCGAGAAACTCTGCGAGAAATCCGAAGACAAAGCGTTTTGCGTTGCGAGTCTAACGTCGCGTCCCGAAGCAAACACCGCAACCGCGCCGAAACTCGGCGTGATCGCGTTGAGCATCGCGTCCACAAACGCTTCCGACACGTCTTTCTACATCAAAGCTAAGCTAAAACAGAAGAACCTCGAACCGGCTTTAGAAGACACGCTCGACGATTGTTCCAAGAATTACTTGGACGCGGTCGCACAGCTCGACGATTCTCTCGCCGCTTTGCTCGCGAATTCGTACATCGACGTCGATATTTGGCTCAACACGGCGATTAGCGACGGCGAGGCTTGTGAGAGCGCTTTGAGCGAACGTGCCGGGAACGATGCTGAGCTTGCTCGTAGAAACACAAACTTCTTGAAGCTTTGCAAGGACGCTCTTCTCATCAACACCATTCTAACTCCATAAATTTAAATTGTTGCCGATTAATTAATATTATATATTTCTTTGTGTTGTTGTATTTTTAAAAAAAAAATGGTTTCGTACGTTGATATGTGGGGGTAAAAGGAAACGATATGTGAAGTACTTGTTTTTGCGAAATTTTGAATGACCGTATTGGAAGTACATATTTAAACCAATTATTTTTTTTATAAAAAAATAAAAAAATATTTAAACCAATTATGATAGTATATTAATCAGATTATGTATAATGTGTTCTTCTGTTGTTATATACAGTACACAGTGAAATAAGAAAAGAAATGGTAACATCCGATCCGATTTATTACACATCGTACGTAGATTACATTTTATTAACATTTATTATTTTATTATGCTGGAAATTAAGATTTTTACTTAATTAAAAATCACGTCCATAATACTGATAACCTACAATATTCAAGATAATTAATTTTTTATTCCAAAGGGTGAATTTTTAATAAACATTGTATTTGTAATTCATTCCAAAGATTACTAAAGTAATACATGTTATTAAAAAGGTTATTTTTAGTATAATTCCTAATCCTAAATTATTGACTTAAAAACGTATTATTATTATTAACACAAAGAAAAGAAAAAAAATCTTTGTTTTTTCACAATTTAGTCTTTTTTATATCGGACGGCATTTGTGTGGTCAGGGCTACCTCAGAGTTGATATCTGTCTCTCGCTCCTCTTCTCTTCTTCTTCTTCAACATCACTGTGTGCGTCTCTCTCTCTCTCTCTCTCTCTCTTCGTTCTCTCTCTCTATTCTATCCTTTCAAAATCTTACCTATTCGAATTTCACTCGCCTCTCCTGCGAAAGAGTTCTTAATCCCCGTCTCCGGGATTTGGGAATCTGGAGATTTAAATTCGTGTTCGATCAAATGGTGGATCGATTTAGTGCGATTTTTTTGCCTCATTAGCAATGACTTCTGCTTCTTCTATGTCCGGTGCGTATACTTTCGTTTGCTCTCTGATTTTGTTTATCCCTTTTCCTGTTCATCGCGGAGACACGTTTGAAGGCAGAGTTTAGAAACGCTTTGTGAATTGCGTCTAGCGAATTTCCCCATGGAACCGTGAATCTCTTAGCTATTAGTAAATTACATAGAGAAACGGAGAAAGAAGGAGCCTTTTTACGACTATGTTGCAGGAATCGGTTCAACTACAATTGGATTTTCAAAGCTAGAAAGAAACAATCCACTTAGGTGATATTTTTGTCTCGTGGTTGTGTTGGGTCACTGAGAAAATGCAGGAAAGTAAGATTTAGAGCGATTAAGTTTTAGACTATTGTGCTTCTTTAAGTAAGCTCATGTGGCAACTAAACTCATTCTACCCTTCTTGTTGAGGACCACAGTTTTCTATTATTGGTTAAGAAACGTGCTTTTTTTGGGAATCTAAAACTAGTTGCCTTGAATCCATGCATCCATTTTTTTTCCTATTTTGGTCGATATTTTTATTGTTTTGTGGACTACATTGCAGTGTCTGTGGAATGTGTGAACATATGTAACCTAACGAAAGGAGACGGGAATGCAAGAAGCGATTGCAATGCTCTCTCTTGTGCTTGGAAAGCTCCAAGAGCGTTAACTGGGTTTCTAGCTAGCACTGCTCATCCACCTGTGTGTTCTTTGTATCTATGTGGTAGAAACGGAAGAAAGAGTAGAATAAAATCTGTAAGTATGCTTTCCTGCCTTTGTTTATGTAGAGGGGTGCTAAGGTTATCTTGCTTGGCTTCAATGTATATTTTAAGCTCCAGAGTTGTGTTTCTGCTCTTTTTGCACATGATCACCTTGTTCCCTGTTGCCATGGTGCCTGTATTTGCTATCTAATCTTGAGGTTCCTTATGGTCTCTCCTTTGGATGATGCAGAGTTATGAATATGAAGTAGGTTTTTCTGAGGTTCCTCACTTTGTAAATGTGAGAAAAATCTTGAGGTCCAGATCATCTTGTGGTGGTCATAAAAGATGGGAACTTTATTGCTTATCGTCTGAGTCTTCTGGTGCGTCCGATGATGTTACTGTCGAAACATTATGGGAGGTAGTAGGCCCTGCCCTCTTCATTTTTACTGGCACTTACTACGACGGTACTCTAATCATTTTTATGGGTGGTGGCTATCTCTGCAGGACCTTTTCCCATCGATATCTTACTTATCCTGTAAAGAATTAGAGTTTGTTCAAAAGGGTCTCAAGGTATGATGATATAAGTTTCTTAATATTTGAAAGGCTTCTTTCAGCTATACCCTATATCATTGCCCCATTGATGTGTTAATTGTTGAAGTATATTTCAGTTTTCTGGTATTCGTTTCTTAATTCAGTAAGAAAGGTTTGTGCAGTTAGCGTTTGAAGCACATCATGGTCAAAAGAGACGTAGTGGGGAACCATTCATTATACATCCAGTTGCAGTTGCTCGTATCCTTGGGGAACTTGTGAGTTGCGTGAGACACTATTATGAATATGGTTCACTTGAGGATAAGTCGGAAAGCTTGATAAGTTATTTTTGTTCTTGTTCAGGAATTGGATTGGGAGTCTATTGTTGCTGGATTACTTCATGACACGGTCGAGGATACAAATTTTATTACTTTTGAAAAGATAGAAGAAGAGTTTGGTGCAACTGTACGTCACATTGTAGAAGGGGAGACTAAGGTCTGCATATTTGTGTTTGCTGCATTATTGTTTCCTATCCGCTTACCCATTATAGAGAATCCATTTTATTTATAAAAGATTTTTCTCTTTTAGGTGTCAAAACTGGGAAAGTTGAAGTGTAAAACCGAAAGTGAATCAATACAAGATGTTAAAGCAGATGATTTGCGTCAGATGTTTTTGGCAATGACAGACGAGGTTTCAATTATATAACATTGTGTTTCAGTTGGTGTGGTTATATTGCTCATCAGCAAACCTAACTGCGTCATTTCAGGTCCGCGTCATTATTGTCAAGCTAGCTGACCGGTTGCATAATATGCGAACTCTCTGCCACATGCCTCCCCATAAGCAGGTGATTCCTTGAAGTAGTTAAGATTTGTTGCCCATACAGCTCTCAGCTCTATGTCTCATTTGTGATAACTAATGATTTTTGAGTTTCGTTCAGTCCAGCATTGCAGGGGAGACTTTACAGGTCTTTGCTCCTTTAGCGAAATTGCTTGGAATGTATTCAATAAAGGTATAACCCTCTACTTGTTTCTTAAAACAATATTATGCCACGAGGTAGGATAGTTTTCCGGTCACATCAGTTGAAACGTATTTTAGTGGTTATATGAAACCTAATTATCTCAGCTAATCGTGCAGTCTGAGCTGGAAAATCTATCTTTCATGTACGTGAGTGCTGAGGATTATGAGCGAGTCACAAGCAGGATCGCTAACCTCTATAAAGAGCATGAGAAAGAACTCAGTGAGGTAATTGCAACTTGTTATATCGGCTCTTAGGTTAAATTTCCGAAACATTGATAGAAATGGGAAAGGAAATCAGAGAAGGATGTTCATTATCAACCTACACGCTCTTTGACCTTTCAAACTGTGATTTCATCTGGGCGTTTATTTAGTTCATCTGTATTCACAGAGTCCTACTATGTATATTAGGCAAACAGAATTTTGGTCAAAAAGATTGAAGATGATCAGTTTTTGGACCTCGTGACTGTGAATACTGATGTTCGTTCTGTTTGCAAGGAAACCTACAGGTGAATCCACTAAGTAACTTCTTCATTTTACTCTGTTACCTACCCTTTTCTTCGGCAACTGAAGTCTCTTATTTTTACATGTAGCATATACAAAGCTGCGCTCAAATCGAATGGATCAATTAATGATTACAACCAGATTGCTCAGGTTTGTGTTGTACACTCAACTCCAATTTTTATCAAAGGTTTTAAATACAGAACTTCCATCTGCCAGCTTTATATGACTGTTAACATTGCTTCTCTAAATTCGTTTATTTTAGCAGTTACGGATTGTTGTAAAGCCAAAACCTTCTGTGGGCGTCGGGCCTTTGTGCAGTCCACAACAGGTGAAACCCCAATGAAAAGGAAGCGCGTATGTTTTGTTCCGATTGTTCTGGTGTGTCACTTAGCTTTCTCACTCTGTCGTCAATGCAGATATGTTATCATGTTCTTGGGCTAGTTCATGAGATCTGGAAACCTATTCCCCGAACTGTATGTATCTGATCCTCTGTTCTTTCAGTATATATATATGTGTGTGTGTTCACTACATTACATCTGAGCATATGTCTTTCCTTTTTGTTATAGGTAAAAGATTACATTGCTACACCGAAGCCTAATGGCTACCAGAGCCTCCATACTACTGTGATTCCATTCTTGTATGAGAGTATGTTTCGGCTGGAGGTGCAGGTATTTGATAATATTATTTCATCACACTTCTAAGGAAAACGCCATTGATGAGCACATTTGAGTTTGTTTTTTTGTGTGTAAAGGTTGAATCATGGGGAAGTTTCTAAAAGGCTGATTTGATATGAGTATTAAAACTACATTTCTCTCTGCAGATCAGAACCGAGGAGATGGACCTGATTGCTGAAAGGGGGATTGCTGTTTACTATAATGGCAGGGCTCTTTCTGCTGGATTAGTTGGAAACCCGGTTCCTTTAGGTAGAAACTCAAGGGGGAAGACAGGTTGCCTCAACAATGCAAATTTTGCACTCAGGGTATTTTTTTTTACCATACTTGCAACTAAAAATGCAGAGAGACGTTCTAGGAGTAGGCAGTGAATATTATTCTCTTTTGCCTTCCCAATATGATGTTAGTTATGACAGTTTATTTTTCCAGGTTGGGTGGTTAAATGCAATAAGGGAATGGCAAGAGGAGTTTGTGGGTAACATGAGCTCTAGAGAATTTGTGGATACCATTACGCGGGATCTTTTAGGTAGTCGTGTGTTTGTATTCACACCTAAAGGGGAGGTAAAGACTAAGCTCACCTCGAAGTCCCTGAAACATTCATCTTAAAATTTCACGTCTTTGCTTAGATACTTTGGTATTCTACTTGCAGATAAAGAACCTTCCTAAAGGGGCCACTGTTGTTGACTACGCTTATCTGATTCACACGGAAATTGGAAACAAGATGGTAGCAGCAAAGGTATCTTCCACTTTCCTGTCATTCTGTCGATGATATCTTTGAATTCTCTATCTAGTATCTTTGAATACGGACAAAAACTGGACAAGATGTTTAAGGAGGATACTTAATTGATTGAAACGGCAGGTGAATGGAAATCTTGTTTCTCCAACGCACGTTCTTGAGAATGCGGAGGTCGTGGAGATACTCACCTATAACGTTTGTACCTTTTCTCTCTTTGCATCTGTTTGTCCTTTCTCCTTTTCTTTTTTTTTCCTGCTGAGGGAAATTTTGATTGTCTCATGTTATATTATTATTGTCATCACAGGCCCTCTCAAGCAAATCTGCTTTCCAGAGGCATAAACAGTGGTTGCAACATGCCAAAACAAGGAGTGCAAGACACAAGATCATGAGGGTATGTTTTATTTATTCGCTTTCTTTATGCTAATTGGATCATCATCACTAATGGATGCATCTCAACTTCTTCCAGTTCCTAAGGGAGCAAGCTGCGCAATGTGCTGCAGAAATAACCCAGGATCGAGTGAATGACTTTGTGGCGGACTCTGACAGTGACATGGAAGATCTCACAGAAGATTCAAGAAAGAGCCTACAGTGGTGGGAGAAAATTCTCGTTAATGTTAAGCAGTTTCAGTCACAAGACAAAGGCAAAAACGCAACACCCGCTTCTCAAAACGAGACCGTTTGGGTCCCAAAGGTGAATGGGAAACACAACAAAGCCATCAAAACCTCCAGTTTGGAGAATCCAGAGTTCTTCTTACCTAGAGATGGAATTGCCAAGATTTTGCCTGCCAACATCCCCGCTTATAAAGAAGTGTTGCCGGGTTTAGACAGTTGGCGAGCCAGTAAAATTGACTCATGGCATCATCTCGAAGGTCACTCCATCGAGTGGTTATGTGTAGTCTCCATGGATCGTAAAGGTATGTTCTTCATTTGCTTTATGGTCATGGTCATGAATCCAATTCCACTTCTCTTTTATCTCTATTGGAAATCACAAATCAAAACTGTTTGTTATATTTGGCAGGCATAATCGCAGAGGTTACAACAGTCCTTGCAGCTGAAGGCATCGCAGTATGTTCTTGTGTGGTGCGTGATGTAACTGTAAAACCTTACTTCTGAACTTTTCTAGTTCCTAACGACCCATTTGTCATGGTTTATTGCAGGCCGAGATTGACAGAGGAAGAGGATTAGCAGTAATGTTGTTTCAGATAGAAGCAAACATTGAAAGTTTGGTAATATCTATCTCAATGTTCTTAAACTCTCTCTCTCTCTTAACTCTTTTTCTTTTTGGATCATTAAACCTAAATTGTGACTCCATGTATCTGTAACTCCCAGGTTAGCGTTTGCGCAAAGGTGGATGTAATCTTGGGTGTGTTGGGATGGTCCAGTGGTTGCAGCTGGCCAAGATCAACAGAAAATGCTCAAGTTCTTGAGTGTTAAAAGCCAAAGGACTCATGTTCTTGGCCATGAAGTTTTGTCATGTTCACTGGATAAAGATAAGCAAACTTGAGAAGAGAGAAGAGTCTGGTTGCTCAAAGTAGAGGTAGAGAGAGCTCTTATAATATTCTTGAAAAAAAAAATACATCATTTTGTTTTGAAAATAAAACGATAAAAAGAGAGTCAAATTCTTTTAGATGTTTTTGTGTTCAATAAATCCAGGTCATTGTATATAAAGACCAAAGAGTGGGATGAACATACAAATGTAATATGTAGATACTCCTGTAAAACCTTATACTTGCACATAGAAGAAAAAAATGGATGTATTTTGCAAAAACGGTTTACATTTACTATGTTTGTGATTTTTTCTTGTTTGGAACTAATTTGTTTCTACTGTTTATGGATGATAATTCAGTTTTTTTTCTCTGGAAATGTAGATAATTCTGTTCATATATATATAAAAAAGAATTTGACCAAAAAAAAATATATGAAAAAAAAGAAAAAGAGGGAAGCAATTTTAGCGATTAGATGATTAGAACAAATACCATAAAATTCCGAAGAAAGACAACATACATGAAAAGTCATGATAAACAGATTAAAAACATACTCTTAGCTCATTTTCAGACAACGTTGTTACACGACGAATCAAACAAACGAAAAGACTCCAAGAACATGTTCACCAAAAGAAGACAGTTAGTAGTAAGTAGGTTCAGAAGTGAAGAAGAAAGGACCAGCCCAGTAAAGCTTGAAACTCTTGTCTTCAAGAACACGGTACTTGTTCAAGGGATATCCTCTCACACCTTTGTTCACATCGGTCGGGAAATCGCAGTCAGCGATTGGAGATTGGGCAAGGAAAACTTTGCATTTGGTCAGCAGCCTTCCTGCACGAAGCTGTGAAGGGAAAAACGTGGCGAAGAAGTAACCTCTGGCATCGCTTTTGCTGCTCAGAATTGAGACTGGAACCAACTCTTTTCCATATGCGTCTGTCTTCACACATTGAATTCTCGCCGTAGCACCTGTCATAAACATACGACCCATTCTGTTATATTATACGACCTTATTATACCATTAAAACAATTCTGTCTTGGTTGCAATAGAAGTTATATTACCTTGAATTGGGTAAGATTTGTCACCGGACTTGCACATGATGACACCTTCAACGGCGAGCGGAATCAATTTTTCGGTCTCGGGGTCGGCTTCATTGCCGTAATAAGCAACGGAGGATATGATTAGAGATGAGAAGACAACGAGAGAAGCAGCAAATGAGAGGCCTGAGAAAGCCATTTTCTTTTCTTTCTCTTGTTTTTTGGCTTACTTTGCTTTTATTTTGGATTGTAGAAAGCAAGTGAACTTTTGAAAACTAGTTCCAGGGTTTATATATAGCTTAGTTGCGTTGACAAAGTAGGTTAATTTTCTTAACTAGATTAATGGTCCAGTGTATATTGATTAATTTTCTTATCTTGTGATATGAACGTGTATGCACGGCAAACGATAGTGTTACCGTCCCGACGTGATACGCATAAATTAGTGATGTGGATTACCAATTACCATAGAGGCCCAATAAGGATTAGAGCAGCCCAAAATGTATTAAGTCCCATTAGAGATCCACTAGAAATGATCGATCATTAAAGGATTTAGATATTTTCAACAAAAGCATGAAAAGGACACTTTTCTAGAAACTACGTGGCGTGAAAACAGAGCACCAGTTGTCTTCTACCTCTATTATTTCGACTTCTCGATAAACCCGCTATCAAAACAGAGTAAACACTCAGACGCCGGAGCCGACCACTGGTTTACTATTCCTATAAATCTGTAAGTATATATATATATATATACGTTTTTTTTGTATATACATACACTTTACAGTCACATGCTTTCTCCTTTAAACGAACACGTCACTTCTAGCGAAAACAGTAGCAAAAAAACAGAGAAGATCAAAGAGAACACGTCTGCTTCTTCATCTTCACTCTCTCTCTTTTTCGCCTAAATTCCAGAATCATTCTGATTTTCGTCCTTTTATCAATAAATCGTTGAATTTTCGTTTTTAATAGCGTTCATTGGTGATTCGATCATTCAAAGTCGGAAGCTTTTTTTTAAGGATTTGGAAGAGTTCAGATCATCTGAATATCCATGTCAAACCCTAAGCTCACTAGGATTCTGAGCACGAGAGATCGCGTGCAGGACACTCTCTCCGCTCATCGCAACGAGCTCGTCGCTCTTCTCTCCAGGTTCGTCGTCGAGATCCTGAATCGCCTGATTCTTTGCTAGCAAATTTTCTTCCTTTGTTCCCGGGAAAGTTCTGTTCTTTTTTTTCTGGGAAATCTCGACCCTTTTTTATTTTATAGACTAATGGTTTGCTTCGTGTGTTTTTCTTTTGTTGTAAAGGTATGTGGATCAGGGAAAAGGGATTCTTCAGCCACATAACTTAATCGACGAACTCGAATCTATAATCGGAGACGATGCAACGAAGAAAACTCTCGCTGATGGTCCTTTCGGCGAAATCCTTAAATCCGCAATGGTGATTTAAAGTTCTCACTTTTTTTTTTTGCGCTTTCTGGGTTTGATTCAAAGTTCGGGAATTTCACAGTAAATCGTTACTAATTTTGTTGTAGGAAGCGATAGTGATTCCACCATTTGTTGCCTTAGCCGTTAGACCAAGACCTGGTGTTTGGGAATACGTTCGTGTGAATGTCTTTGAGCTAAGTGTTGAGCAACTAACAGTCTCTGAGTACCTTTGTTTCAAAGAAGAACTCGTTGATGGACCTAGCAGTGACCCTTTTCGCCTCGAACTCGATTTCGAGCCATTCAACGCAAACGTGCCACGTCCTTCACGTTCGTCTTCGATTGGTAATGGAGTTCAGTTTCTCAATCGTCACTTGTCTTCTGTAATGTTCCGTAACAAAGATTGCTTGGAGCCTCTGCTTGATTTCCTTAGAGTTCACAGGTACAAGGGTCATGTAAGTTTCCTTCCTTTCTTTGTTCTGTTTGTTTCTATAAAAATGTTGTGAAATTGGTGAAAAATGTAAACTTTTGTTTGTGTGTGTGTGTGTGTGTGTGTGTGCACAGCCATTGATGTTGAATGATCGGATTCAGAGCATATCTCGGCTTCAAAACCAGCTTAGTAAAGCAGAAGATCACATCTCTAAGCTCCCACAAGAAACTCCATTCTTGGAATTCGAATACTCGCTTCAAGGAATGGGTTTTGAGAAAGGATGGGGAGATACCGCAGGGAGAGTGCTCGAAATGATGTATCTACTCTCTGATATCCTTCAAGCTCCTGATCCTTCGTCCTTGGAGAAGTTTCTCGGGATGGTACCGATGGTTTTCAACGTTGTGATCTTATCTCCGCATGGATATTTTGGGCAAGCTAATGTCTTAGGCTTGCCTGACACTGGCGGACAAGTATCTCCCTAAACCTTTCCTTTCTAATCCGTTTTTTTTTTCGGATTTCCGTTAGCTTTTAACATTCTTGGATGTTTCAGGTTGTTTATATTCTAGACCAAGTTCGAGCCCTTGAGACCGAAATGCTGTTGAGGATAAAGAGACAAGGGTTGGATATAACACCTAGGATTCTTATTGTAAGTTTGTGTCTTTTGTCCTTTGATTGTTAAGATCTTAAAACTGTGAATCATGGACTTAAAAGTGTTCTTTCAAAGGTAACAAGATTGATACCGGATGCGAAAGGAACTACGTGCAACCAGCGGCTAGAGAGAGTCAGCGGAACAGAGCATACTCACATTCTGCGTGTTCCTTTTAGGTCTGATAAAGGCATCCTTCGTAAGTGGATTTCAAGATTCGACGTGTGGCCTTATCTAGAGAACTATGCTCAGGTTTTAAAAATCTTAGCGTTCTTGAGTTTTATTTACTTGTTATGCGAGAGAAAAGAAGATCACTGATGTTTCTTTAGTAAAAACAAAAACAGGATGCAGCGAGCGAGATTATTGGTGAATTGCAAGGTGTGCCTGATTTTATAATCGGCAACTACAGCGATGGAAACCTTGTTGCATCGTTAATGGCACATAAAATGGGTGTTACACAGGTAACAGTTTCTTCAAGTTTTTCTTCCTCTCAGATTTTCTTGTTATGTTGTTATCTATCTATGGAAAGTCACATATAATGGTTGATTCTTGACATAAACAGTGTACTATTGCACATGCTCTGGAGAAAACCAAGTATCCAGACTCGGACATCTACTGGAAAGATTTCGACGAAAAGTATCATTTCTCTTGTCAGTTCACAGCTGATCTAATCGCAATGAACAACGCAGATTTTATCATCACAAGCACTTACCAAGAAATCGCAGGAACGTGAGTGACTCTATTAATATCTCTAAAAAGTGTTTTATTTTTTTGTTCTTCTTCCCGGTTCTCAATGAATTGTGTTCTTAGGAAGAACACGGTCGGTCAATATGAGAGCCATGGAGCTTTTACGCTCCCGGGACTATACAGAGTAGTTCACGGCATCGATGTGTTTGATCCCAAATTCAACATAGTCTCACCAGGCGCAGACATGACCATTTATTTCCCCTTTTCTGATGAAAGCAAGAGACTTACATCTTTACATGGTTCCATTGAAGACATGCTCTATAGCCCTGACCAAACCGATGAGCATGTGTAAGTCATTTACGTTATTTCTGTTTATTGGCTCTTGAATCTCAAATCTTTTCTTCGAAGCCATTTGACTTTGGGATGGTTTGTTTGTTGCAGTGGTACATTGAGCGATAGGTCGAAACCACTACTCTTCTCTATGGCGAGGCTCGACAAAGTGAAGAACATCTCCGGTTTAGTCGAGATATACGGTAAGAACGCAAAGCTGAGGGAGCTGGTGAATCTGGTTGTAATAGCTGGTAACATTGATGTGAGCAAGTCCAAAGACAGAGAAGAAATCTCAGAGATTGAGAAGATGCATGACCTTATGAAGAGTTACAAGCTTGAGGGACAGTTTCGATGGATAACTGCTCAGACAAACCGAGCTCGAAACGGTGAGCTTTACCGCTACATCGCCGACACAAGAGGTGCCTTTGCTCAGGTAATAAGCATTTTTAGTGTTGGATGAACTATAATGCTATAAGCGGTGACAAAGATCGATGCTTTAATTGATGAAAGTGGCATGTTTTTGTCTATACTATATGCAGCCTGCGTTCTACGAGGCGTTTGGGCTTACGGTGGTCGAGGCAATGACTTGTGGGCTTCCAAATTTCGCCACTTGCCACGGTGGTCCCGCGGAGATTATCGAACATGGGCTTTCGGGTTTCCACATCGATCCTTACCATCCTGAGCAAGCCGGTAACATAATGGCTGACTTCTTTGAACGTTGTAAGGAAGATCCAAGCCATTGGAAGAAAGTCTCAGATTCTGGTCTCCAGAGAATTTACGAAAGGTAACAAACCACTAAAAGCAAAAAACAGTTATAGTTTATTTCTTGGTTACAGCGTGTTTGATCCTTATTAGAGATTAAACTCTCAAAATATGTGTTTTGTGTAGGTACACATGGAAGATATACTCTGAGAGACTAATGACACTAGCTGGTGTATATGGTTTTTGGAAGTACGTGTCGAAATTGGAGCGTCGTGAGACTCGACGATACCTTGAGATGTTCTACATTCTCAAATTCCGTGACTTGGTTACAATTCACAAACACTTTTATTCTTCATCTTCTATATAGAGCTATATCAAGAATCTCATTATTGATTTATGATTTGTTCTCGCTTGGTTTTGATTTTTTCAGGTGGAAACCGTTCCTTTAACCGCCGATGACTGACCCGGTTCGGCGTTGGAAGATGTGTGTAAAAAAGAATAAAAGATGAATAAATGTGGTCTATGTAGTGTGTAAGAAAAGAAGAGTACTTTTGTTGAGATGGAGTTATTACGGGTTTGTTTTTGTTTGTGTTCATGGTACATTGTGTGTTTTGTCATGTGTGCGTGACTGACAATGTTCAATGTCACGTGAAGTTTGTAGTTTACAATAAAAAAGTCTTTGATAGATTTTTCATTTCACATTCATTAGTATTATAACTAGCTCGTCGATTTCAACCGTTGCAATGGATTCTAAACCTAAAAAGCTATACGAACATTATGGGTCTTCATTTAAAAAAAAAAAAAAAATTGTCTCATTTATTGATAATTATCGAGATACACAACTGATGTGTGATGTGAGTATAACTATGGAGTAGTATAATAATAATAATATTGAAAAGTAAAACCTGACAGGAGAGAAGAGTGACAAAAGCAGCTTTAATTGACCAATGAATCAAATCCATAAGGACACTTCTCTCTCTGGTCAATTACTCGCTTCTCGTGTCGTGGAAATTGATTCCCCCGATGCAATAAACATCCATCATCATTACTATTATTCATCTTTTTTTTCTTTTCTTCAAAATAAAATTACGCTTCCAAAGAAAAATACATTTATCTTGCGTCAGATAAAAATACTTGCATTTTATGATTTGTATGTGAAAACTAAAATCTTTTGTCAGATGGCTATTCCGATAAATATTTTTTAAGCTTTTATTCTCACAGTGTGACCTTTATAAAAATTTAATACTTTTTAGACTCTCGATATCTCTCAATTCTGTACGTGAGATTGTTTAATGAGACCAATAAATCCCGAAACTCGAAATTCCACTTGAGCTGTTAAACTAAATTATTGCTAATCTTTATAATGGCCCCTCCACGCTAAAGCAACTTTTGCTCTTTTTTTATGTAGATTAATTATCCTACTTGTTTAAGTTTGTTTTAAGAGATTATTAACACACACACCACCCAAAATAATCAGTAATTCGATCACATAACTATTCAAAATAACTCTACTAATATTACGTTTCCTACATTGTTGTTATGGTTTTGTTAGTTTTCTCTATATTTTCCAAAACTCCAAGAACTCGGGAACCAATCAAGAAATCACAATCTTATCTATTATAGCGCTAAACAGCTGGAGATTCTATCGAGTCCCCCCCAAAAAAATATTTACATTAATACATCACAGAAACTAACAAAAATAACAACATGGATAGCATAACTTAATGGAGTAAAGGACGATAACATTAATAACCACAGAAAGATTACACTTGACGTTATATAATAACGAACCAAATAAACCCATCCCTCGGACCAATGTCCTCTTGTGATCCGATTTTCGATTCAATATATATACTAAAAATAAAAATAAAGATAACTTCCTTCACTTTTATTTTTTTTTTGCTTAACTAACACGTTCATTACTACTCGTAGTAGTTTACTACATTATAAAGTGAATGAACGGTTACAACTTTCAACTAGAGTTGACCATAGGAGTGAGCGAAATAGGCAAGAGCTCCAACGAGTGGTGCATTGATGTAAGTAGCTGGCTCAGACTGCTCATAGTCAGACCGTTCGTCCGGGAAGCGATCGTGCTGGTCCGGACCACCAACAACTGCACCGACCAGGAAGTTAGGGTTTGGAGATTGAGAGTTCATGATGGAGAAGCCTTCGTGGCACTGGATCTTTGCTGGATGGCTTGCAACGCAAGGTAAGGAGGAGCCACGGTGGTGGATTCGCCGTGGGAATTTTGGGCCGTAACCAACCATGTAAGACATTCTTAATGGGTTGTCTCCAAGTAGATAATCCACCTATTAATTAATAAAAGAAAAAATTATGATTATTAGCAAAATTTTACATCAAAACTAGAGAAATAGTCAAGATTTGTATAAAATTAGCAAAATAGTATAAAATCTAAAAATCAGGAATTTTAAAATTAGACCTACCTGTCTTTTGGCAATAGAGCGAATGCGACCGGGAGTGTAGACGGAGCCACCGCAATGGACGACGGTTCTGGCGGAGGTTAAATATTTGGCGTAGGTCAAGAGCAAGAACGATGTTGACGTTACGTATTGCATGTTGGCGTCTGCCAATTTAAACAATAATCCACCTGCATAATATATGTTAAGAAAAATGTTTAATATCATATCAAATAGTTCTGACCATTTGATACTACTAAATAAAACATTTTATCAAAAAATATATATATCATCCCAAAATGGAAAAGTAGTGAGCAAATTTTTTTAAAAAAAGAAAACCAGAAAAATCATATGGTTTCCGGAAAGTATAACATCACAAATAATTACCATAATATTAATATCGTAATAATTTTCTTTGGTGGAGAGGCAAAGATGTAAATTAGTGGAAGATGAGGGGGTAAAAATGTAAGAACCTGGAGTATACTGAGAAGAAGAGTAAGGAGCTCCAGGAATAACAGAGCAAATGAAATTATCAGCATGACCTTTGTATTCATGAAGTGTCTTCACATTCTGAACCAGAAACGCCTTGACAACAATATAAAAAAATCAATCAATCACATTGAATCAGGGTTTTTTTATTCAACAAAATTGGAGTTTCCATAGATCATATTTTTACTCTGGAAAAATATTATTACCTTTGTAAGAAGAATTCTGGCACCAGCATGCTTGTTATCCCAACCAAAAGTGTTATCATACTCAGCAGCTCCAAGGATTTGTCCATTGGTTTTTATGTAATTCAAATATTTTAGATTCTTTGTTGCTTTTTGTAACCAAGCAGCTCCCCACAACAACTCATCCTGTCAACAAACAAAACCAAAAGAACAAATTTTTAGTTTCAATTTTTTAACCCAAAAAGCTTTGCTTTTTGAATTTGTGTAGCGAAACCCATTTACCTGATAACCAGAGTAAGAACAGTAAAATGGACAAACATCTGGTTTCAATCCTGCACTGTATGTTCCTCTATATTTGTCCGCAAATGCAAACACCTTAAATTCCACAAAAGAAAAGTCAATTAAGCAGTTATTTTTCTGAAGAAATGTATATGAAACTGCTTTATAAGTTTTTATGGGTTTACCCTAATGGCTCGTTTGAGGAGGATCTTGGAGTAAGAAGGATCAGATTTCCTGAAAACAATGGCTGCGGCGGCGAGAGCTGCGGCGGTTTCAGCAGCGACATCAGAACCAGGAGTGTTCTTGTCTACTTTAAACACACTTCTTTGTGTATCCATGTCTTCTGGTCTTTCCCAACAAGCATGGTCTTTGTTTGCATCACCAACTTGAACATAAATAGTGTCAGGATGTGAAGTGGCTTTAAGAAGATAATCTGTGGCCCAACGAATCGCTATTTTAGCGTTTGGTAATTCAGATTTCATGAGTCCACCGAATTCAATTACACTCCATGAGAGCATTGTTGTTGTGAATGCCATTGGGAATCCAAATTTGATGTTGTCTCCTGCATCATAGTATCCTCCAACCAAGTCCACCTACGAAAAAGAAACCAATTGAACACAAATTAGGGATTTTTTGAAAAGAGGGGAAATAAACAAAAACCCTAAAAAAAAGTCCTTTTCTTTTTCTTTTGTTCACCAAACTCCATTTAATTCTAATAAAGGTTCAATCTTTTGACAATATTGATACAAAACTTAACCTACATTGTTCAGAATCTTGACATTTTTCTCTAACTGAGCAAACTTTATTTTATTTCTAAATTGGGGTTTCAGAAAAGGGGGAAAAGTAACCAAAAACCTCATTTTTTTCTCTGTTGTTCAAGCACCAAACTCTTGAATAAATAAAGGTCGAATCTTTTGACGATATTGGTACAAAATCTAACCTACATTGCTGAGATCTCTAAGTAAACAAGCAAACCCAGTTCTTATTTTCCATAAAACCAAACCCCGAAAAAAATAAAGGAGAAGAGAGTAAGAAAAGTTGAGGTGATTTTACATGAAGAGCAGAGCCATCAGAGAGACCAGAGTCTCTTCTCCAAGACATTCTCTGGTTAGAAGGAAGCTTCCCAGACCTTTGGCCTTCGAAGAAGAGGATGGATTTGGTGAGAGCGTCTTTGTAATTGTGCTTGGCGAAGTGGTGACGATGGTGATGGGTGTTGAAGAGTGAAGAAGAAGAGTAGGAGAAGCCATTGCAGAGAAAGAAGGAGAAAGAGAGTGAAATGATGACTCTCAAGGCATGGGAGGAAGACGAAGAAGAAAGGAGGAGAGTCATTTTCTCTGAGAGAGAAAGGGAAAGCTTCAATTAACCAATCAGCGAAGAGATTGCACAAGCTGCTTTGTGGGAAACAGAGGAAGTAGCTCTGCTCTTTATAGGGGAGGGAGAAAGGTTTGTTTGTCTCTCTCCTCTTTCCTCTAAACTCTCTCTGTGGCAAGGTAAAAACTTTTTGACTCCTCATCTTTTTGTGTTTCCAACATGGTAAAAGTGAGCTGTCAAAAAAAGAGATGTAGCCAAGAGAAGGAATTTGAATAATTGGAAACCTGCCAGCCAAAATCAGAATAAAGAAAACTCTAAGGGGGTATTTGGATAATATTCAAAAACAACTTATTGACATTGTCCGTACTTCTGCTTGTTTCGACTTGTTGGGAGATGGGGAAGCCCATTCGCAATCTAACTTATAACTAAAGATTCATTTTACTTCTGTATCTGATTTGATTCTTGCATGTATTTGATTACATGTTTGATATTTGGATAAGATTCGGCGCTTGTGAAGTTTGTAAAAGACAAAACGATCTATTTTAAAAAAAAAATTCGTTTAATAATGTTTTATTTGATTCGGTAAACAAAAAAATTGTTTCAGGTTTGCGAAATTCAATCTTGAGTATAATGATGCCTGGTGACTATGTTATTACATATTTCATGGTAAGTAGTTCAGTAGTTTGAACCTTTTTTTTTTTTTGGTAATTGGGGAAAACTTTAGGTCAATATTCAAGATTGGTAGAAAACTGAATATTCCTATCACCTAAAAAAAGTTTATAGCGGTTAATGATAGATCCAGAGTGATGACCGTAACAATTAACAAGTGCTCTAATGTTACTTTGGTTAATAGTTTGATTTGTTCGCTTTAATTTACTACCTTTTTCCGTTAGTATACTAGTTTTACTTTTTAAATGAAACAGTTTAAATTGTCGTGCTAGAACAAATTTGAGGGAACAAATCTTTAAAGTGTGGCTCTACTCACACAATATAATTTTTGGACTTTGTGATTTAAAATTCCTTATCTGCTTTGATTAGTAACAAGTATTAGTGTTCTGAATATTATTGTTCTATATTGTATCATCTTTTGTTTAATTCTAAGTTTGTTTCGCCTTTTTTTTTATAATCTATATATCCAAATGACAAAGAAATAATATCACACCGGTTTTAGATCGTTAATCAGTTTAGCTTTTTTTTCTTTTTTAAATTATTAGAAGGTTTTGGGCCGAAGTCCGTATTTGAAACCACATTATCTAATATTGGTTTCGTCCCAAGATCGTTGATCAGTTTAACTGTTGTCTAGACAATTATTTTTTTAGTTGATTGTTCGATAAATGATGACGAAATTTTCAATTATGACGTTTAAATTTTAATCATTCCACATACATGTAACATGTGTGCATGTGACTAGCCTGCCTTTTCATACGAATCTATCATCAACTATAAACTCTGGCCATTATAACGACTGTTAGAAACTATATTAGTGGGTTTCCCTTTTTAGTCGAATCCGTAACATATGGACGTTAATTGTACTACTATATGTTTTTCTGCTAAAAAAGGTTACAATTATTTGAATCATAACTTATAAGCAAATCCCTTTAAAGCCAATCACTTAATTCACGGAAAATTTAAATAAACTTCGAGGGGCCAAATTACATGCATTGCAGATAAATAGTGCTCAACTTTATCGAGAAAATTCTATATTTTTCACTAGTTTCAATATTATATTATTTTAGTTTTTTAGATCTTTAAACTGTTTTAGATTTTTGGGGTCTCAGAATATTTGTCTTTTTTTACTCGGTTATAAAACTAATGTGATGACACTGATGAAAGACAAAACTGATCAAATCAATCTGATTTAGATGTAGAATACTTTATTTTTCAATGGAACATATTTGAAGTGGAAGCTTTTGGTATAGTAAATGATTCATAAATTAGTACTGAAACACATATTTCAGGTTTAATCCTTCTTTCTTTTTTAGATTGTGAGTGCCAAATTTTTTGAAAGTTTCAGTCTGTTTGAATGATCTCATGATCCCCAATGCATGATGTTGCTACGGGTTATTAAGTCTATTTACTGTCAAAGATGATCGTCGTCATTTGTTTATATAACAATGATGTAACAATTGTGTGTGCCGTAACAAATATTTAAAACCAAAATTTCCCAAAAAAAATATCTTATATAAGATTTAACTGTTTACTGATAATATATATTGTATATACACGTTTTCAAACCGATTTTCGTAACGAGATTTGAGAAACAAAAATCCTTAAATGTAATATCATATTACATATTCCATATTCAAAAACTATATTCTACTCTTCGAGTAAACTAACCACATGTGGATAATGTTGTTTAAAATTTTGAGCAATATTGATAATATGTAAACGTATAAGCTGTGTGATATATATGTATGAAGAAGAGTAGCATTGAATTTTTGACCAAAAAAAAAGAGTAGCATTGGATAATAATGGAGAGGATGGGAATGTCGTACTATCATGTGCGCTCCTGTGATAATTCCACATGCATCATGACCCTCCAAAACAAAACACGATATAAAGAGCAAAAGAAAGAAAAAAAAAACGCTTGACTTTGAATTCATGTTCTTATTCTTCTTTTCCAGCTTCTCTGTAAAAGTTTTCCCATCATTGAACAACCATGAAAACAGATGGTAAAGGCTATACACATTTTCCATCTAAAAGATATTTAATTGGCCAATTAAACTAGGTTTCTTAGACAGTTAAAACTATATTGTAGGTTCCTTTCGTGATATGTTTATAATAAAGCAAGCACCATCTTTTTTCACTGTCATATACTGCCGATAAAATCAGACTGAATTTGAGAATCCAGTCGACCATTTTTTTTTTTTTTTTTTTTCTGATTCTCACTTGTTATGAGATTTGGGAAATTGGGAGGAGTAAACCATATGACCAGTTGAAATTAATAAAATGATAATACTAAAAAATGTGCTATAGTATTGTTTATATTTTGTACAATATATACCAAATTATCTTTTTTCTATTCTCTTTCTTTGTATTCACGTCTTCTTATCTTCTCTTCTCCCCTCCCATTTTCTCCTCTTCCATTCTCCTCTTCCATTCTCCCCATTCTCTCCCTTCCCCTTGACTGGTCATACTATACAAATGATATGAAGTATTATCTTTGTAAATAGTATAATATGATTAAAAACTGATATAGTATAGTATATTATTATAAACTGATATGTAATTAGAACTTCAAATATTATACTATATTAGCCTTATCGTTTAAAAACATATATTATAGTATAATCTGCAAAAAAATCATGTGCTACAATCAAAACTATTTTCTACGAATATTGTCAAATAAAAACAAAAATGTATTTTAGTCATTTTTATGTGGAGTATGGTTACTTTCTATATTTTTTTGAATAGTATAGCTATATTCTATGATTTTTTATCAAATATGGGCATTTGACTAAAAAACTCATGAGATTTTTATCATTTGTTTTTTTTTTCTGAGTTGGATAAATAAACACACACACTCTAGTGACTAGCCGAACAATAATACGTAGAATGTTGATTATTTTATAAGTCCAAATGACTTTGATCCCATACGTTTACGATCCAATATGGTTGGTTACAACACTTTGCTTTATTATCATGAAAATCTAACGCCTTACAAACCAAGATCAAATGGGATGCCGGTTAAATTAAGCCATGTGTTACCATGAATAAATGGACCGACTGTGAATTGAGTTGCCTCCATTGCGGTTTTCATGCGTCTATAACCAGGCCATTTAACCCGGTTTGTCATATTCGAACCGGGTCCTTCATTCATGTATTCTCCATAATATAAAGTTTCAGTATAATCTTTGTTCCACTCCAACCATCCCGCAGGATCAATCAGATCGTCAATAAACGATTTCATGATGATGGTCCTAGAATATGGTCTCCATGGTCGACCCAAATACGCCTTGAAGTTTGCTTTTACAGGGATCAAATCAGTCGCGGCCAAGAATCTACAATGAATCATAGAAATACCTGTGGTTTGATTCGAGCAATTCCGGCTCTGAGCGGTGAATGCGATTTTCTGTTGAGAGTTTGGTCTACGCGCATAGAGACTACAGTTCTGAAACACAGCAGCCGCGTTACCGAATACGAAGTCAATCGTACCAAATATATCGCATTCTCGGTAGAACTGTCTGGCTCTATGGACATAGAGAGTGTCTTGGTAACCTTCGAAGGAGCATCTGTAAAACGCAGAGTGATTGGAACCGCTTCGAAATGCCACGGCTTGTTGTTTGCTCGGTCCGGCAAAATTCACGAATGTTATGTTTTTAGCTATGAAGCCGTCACCTTTCACGCCTGCATAAGACAATCGTCTTAATTTCAACAATGATACAATAAAGAACTCAAAGAAGATTCAAAAAAAAAACCTTTGTATAGTGTAACGTTATGAACTCTTTTTTATTGTTGTGGTCGTATGGAGAGATGCATGTTTTTTGAGGTTGTAATTTCGTAAAAAAATAATAGATAAATTGGAATTTATTTGGGCTCAATTTGGTCTCAGCCCATAAGAATGTGCCCATTAAATTTATACTCTTTACTGGTTACTTTTTTTTTTTTTTTGAAAAGGTTACTGTTTTATTTGTTATCATGTTTTTTTTTTCACAACTTGATTAAGATTTAGCTATAGCAAAATAATGTTTTACATTATAAAACCAAGGGTTTAAAAAGTAATTTAATAAAAAAAGACTAACCTACGGTAGCAGATTGAAATGTTGTCCATCCATCAAGGCGGCTGCGGTTTGCTTTTATGATTGTTTTTCCGATGCCGTCTCCGACCAACATTATCATTGTCTTCTTCTTCGGTATTTCGACGTTTTCAAAATATAACCCACCTTTTATATAAATCATAAACCTATACCAAAATTTTGAAAATTAAACATTAGACCGATTGCTTGAGAAGAAAAAAAACACATGACAATGTATATATATAAAAAAATCAAGGTTAATCGTTGATGCAATGATGCTTTACTACGTTGAGTTAAGATTTATAAATGCACCTTGTTTCGCTCGAGTTAGGAGCGGCCGAGACCGCAGCACTGATGGTTGTGAAGTCTTTGGTACCATCTTTAGCCACCGTGAGATTAAACTTGGTCTCTTCCGCCGAAGCTTGAAGGAGTCTCTTGTCATTCTCTGAGACCCAACTCGGAAACTCAACGTCAACCTCAGCTGGTTCTAGGGAATGGTTATTCCCCGGAATATTCTGAAGCATGCCAAGAGAGTTACTGAGGTTGTTAGAGATGTTTAAGATGCTCTCCTTCAAGCTCTCAGCCAATCTGTATGACCTATCATTACTATTATCGTAGTCATCTCTTGTGAAACCATCGAGACACGTGTCTTGGTTCGTCATGGCGTCGCTGAGCAACATATTGACGTCGTCTAAACCAATAGTGGAAGATCGGAGCTTGGAGACTGCGGTTTTGAGATCGGAGATGGTGTCATCGAGTAGACCGAGACAGTCTTCGAACGCGCAGCGATCACGGTGAGATAGGTTTGGACCGAGACGGTTTTGGAGGTCGAAGAAGTTGGAGGAAGAGAGATTGACCTTTAAGATGGTTTGATCTAAAGTAGCGATGACAAGCTCAGTGATGTTACTGCTTTCTGTTGAATGCGGCGTTTTTTGGACGGTGGATTGTGAATCAGATGTAACAACGGTGGATAAGAAAATTAGGTGTAATGTCAATCGTAGTGAGTTGAGAGTAATGAGTTTTGACGTTTTTCTATATGGATTCTTCATCTTTTTTCTTAGGATTGTAGTGAAAAATGGGAAGAAAACAAAAAATTAAAGACAAAGCTGACATGTGAAGAAGTGAAAGGTGTGGGTTTATTATATAAACTCCCCAAGGTGAAGATTACTTAAAAGGGAGACTGTCAACGATATTATTTTTATTTAAACTCATTTCCTTAATTGTTTCAACAAATGATAAATTCTCTCACAATTATTGAGTATGAATGTCTTTATTCAAATTGAATAATTCATTTGAAAATACGCAAGTCATTAAAATTTTACCAGACTATACGTATGATGCAAAGACTACGAATGTATACATATATACGAAATAGGTGCAATTATGGTTTCAATAAAAAAAATGACAATTATTTAACAATTTGTTAAATGTCTTACCCAAATGTCGTTATTTTTTGTCTTTCATAAGCACTGTAAGATGTATTACTAATCAAATTTGTTTTCATCATATATTATATCAAAATTTAAAGATAAGATTAGAGATCAAGAGTAAGAGGAATTCCTGTAGAATTAAGCCAACTGTAACCTTCGATAAACGGACCAACGGTGAATTGGGTTGCTTACACAACGGTTTCAATACGCTTAAAACCAAGCCCTTCCACCCGGTTTGTCATATTCGAACCGGGTCCTTCATTCATATACTCTCCATAATATAAAGTGTTACGAGCAAATTTGCCTTTCCACTTCAACCATTTAGCAGGATCTACTAGATCGTCAATTTTATGATAACAGTCCTAGAATATAACTGCCATGGACGACCTAAGTATGCTTTGAAGCTAGCTTTCACAGGAATCAAATCTTGTGCAGCCAAAATCCTGGAAAGAATTATAGATATACCAGTAGGTAGACGTGAATGTTCTCAACCTTGAGTGGTGAATGTGATACTTTGGTTAGGGTTTGGTCTATGAGCGTAGAGACTACAATTTTGGAACACGACGGATGCGTCACCAAATATGATATCGACCGTGCCATATATATCACATTCTCGATAGAACTGTTTGTGTGAGTGGGCGTAAATGGTGTCTTGGACTCTTGGTAACTTTCGAAGCTGCATCGGTAGAAAGCAGAGAGGTCAGAACTGCTTCGTAACGCCACGGCCTAGTGTTTTGTTGACCCGACGTCGTTCACGAATGATATGTCCTTAGCTATGAAGCCACTACCTCTCACGCCTGCATTAACAAAATTGTGTAACTAATGTTTCTTAATTAATTTAATACTAGTAAGTTATAATTGATATCAGTTACAAAGATTAGTTGCAAGAAATGAAAACTAACTAAATCACAATTATGGCTAAATTTTTTATTTCTATAATATTTTTCATATTTGATATATGTGAATCAGAGAGTATATACTAGTGATTAAAACTTTTGCTGTCAACATGTAAATCTGATTGGTTAAATGTAATATTAAAATTGAGGTAAATTAATATTATAATTCGATGTAAGTTGTAGTAAAATTATGTGGCAAAATAGTAAATTTATGCAGTAAGTTTGAATGAATATATTTTTTTTTATCAAAATAGATCATTGATAACTTTTCTAATGTATGTTATAATATATATTATTTAAAATAAAATAAAATGAAAAATATTAATAGTGATAATGTTTATTACAAATTATAATAATAAAATCAATTACAAAAAATCAGATTGTGGAAAGTGATTCATTACATACAAGTAATAATAATGACATATTTAAAATATTTTTTCAACAAAACAAATTGTGGAAAAGTAGAATTATTTAAAATGTTTTATTAATAATAATAAACATAGGCTAATGCAAAATAAATATATAATTTCCTCTAACTCATTTTAATTTTCATGATTAAAGAATTTGAGTTGAGTTATCAATTTTACAAAGACATAACTCAAAATTTTAATGCAATTATAACACATGCTAACTCAAACTTTAATGTAAAAAAAATAAAAATAGTAAATGATTGGTAACATTTCTTAATTATGCATATAACTCAAACTTAATCAAAAAAATTCATATATATATATATATATATATATATTATTAAGGGTTTTCTGCATTTTAATCCGCAAGCTTACAAAGTTTTACAAATCAATCCTCGATCTTTCAAAAATGCAGGTCAAACCTTCACCTCCCGGTCAACCCGCAATACAGTCTATCCGTCAAATGGATGTTATATCTTAAACGGATGACAAAACGCTGTGTTTTGCAACGACTACAAATCACAAACACCTTGACGTTTGTTTCACCTTGACATTTGTCTCTTACTTTTGCTAATGGGAAAGAATAAATCCAGATAGAATTGGGAAATTAGGGTTCATTTGATTTTTGTGATTTGAAGCATCTCTTCATTAGATTTGATGCACTTTATATTCGCTGGATCTTAGATGCACCACAATTCCAAACGAATTTGTTCCAGAAAAATCAGTTCTCTCTTCCAAACTTCAGAACTCGACAAAACCTCCTCAAATCTAGAAAATCCTAAATTCTAGAATTAACTACTCAAATCGAAGACAAAAACTCGAATGAACCTCAATTCGAATTACTCTAATCAAACTCTTGGATGAGAAACCATTTCCCCCAATCACGATAAACCCTAATTTTGATTTTATTCTCAATTCGATTTTGTATTCTAATCTCTGTTAATTATTCGGCAATTATACAAAAACACATCGGGATTAGTTTTTAAACTATTAACGTAAATATATATATAAATACTATAGTTGAAGTGATAACACAATAAAACATAACGGCTCCGATGGCTTTGAGGTACCTACTACCCTCGCATAATCCAAGTCCGATACTTACCATTACTATTTTGCTTTATTTTTTTTAATGGACAGAAATGTAATTTACTTATCATCTTCTTCATCCAACCTACGGTTTCTTTACCTCAATATCGACCGCCATAATTTTTGCTTCAGTTATGTGATCTTTTTACATCATTTTATCGCTTAATTACATCAAATCTTTGTAAATTCAACTATAAAATATCAATTTTGAACATAAATTATGAAAAAGCTAAGATTTTTTAAAATTTCTGATTTTATCAACCGATTATCATCAATTCGCGGCGGTGATCGAATGTCGACCTCATTCTCAGTCGCTGAATCATCAATTCGCTCGCGTTTTCAAACAAGGGTTCTAATTAATGTCAACTACGAACAACATGTCGTTTTTATGTTGTTTAAACGACATAGACAACAACTCTGTTTGATTTTCAAACGACGTTTATAACTGCCACGTCATCGATACACATGTGGATTGTATTGTGGGTTGACCGAGAGGTGAAGGTTTGACCTGCATTTTTAAGAGATCGAGGGTTGATTTGCAAAATTGTGCAAGCTAGCGGGTTAAAATGCAGAAAACCTATTATTAAAGCCGATTAAGGCCGTAGTTCCACTCATGGACGACATAAAAATTATGTTTTTCAGTGTAATAATGTTTTATATGTTTTAAGGTAGGTAAATGTGTATATATAATGTGTGTGTATGGTAAATCCAAACATGTAAGCCTATTGACAACCAAAAGATAGTGAGGAGCTCCAGAATAACAGAGCAAATGAAATTATCAGCATGACCTTTGTATTCATGAAGCGTCTTCACATTCTGAACCAGAAACGCCTTCACAGCAAAATAAAAAATCAATCATCAATCACATTGAATCAGGGTTTTTTTATCTAACAAAATTGGAGTTACCATAAATCAATTTTTTTCTGGAAAAATATTATTACCTTTGTAAGAAGAATTCTGGCCCCAGCATGCTTGTTATCCCAACCAAAAGTGTTATCATACTCAGCAGCTCCAAGGATTTGTCCATTGATTTTTATGTAATTCAAATAGTTTAGATTATTTGTTGCTTTTTGTAACCAAGCATCTCCCCACAACAACTCATCCTGGCCAAAAAAACAAAACCAAAAGAACAATCTTTAGTTTCAATTTTGTAACCCAAAATCTTTGTTTCTTAAATTTGTGTAGAGGAACCCATTTACCTGATAACCAAAGTAAGAACAGTAAAATGGACAAACATCTGGTTTCAATCCTGCACTGTAAATTCCTCTATTTTTATCTGCAAGTACAAAAACTTTAAACTCAGAGTTTCTCCAATGCAAATTTAATATTTGAAGTTTGCAAAACTTCATATTTGAAATTTATATTTGAAGTTTGTAATGTTTATTCTTCAATGCAAAAACTTCAAATTTAACTTCATATTTTATGTATTTTACATTATACTCCTCAATTTTGATTATATTTAATTAAAAACATATAACTTTTATAAATAATTATAAACTATATTTAAAAAATATTACTTATGATATTAATAAAAATTTGTATTAGAAGAAAAAAATTACATATATATGATAATAAAGTACCCACACAGACTAATTAAAAATTACAAATAAAATACCAAATTATTCATAGAACCATTTTCATAATGTTCTTTTGGAGGTTCAGAATCAGATTTACCTGAGTTTTAGTAGCGTTGTAATATTTTAATTTTTATAATATATTATATTTATGTAATTTTATTTTGTATTAAACTTGCTTTATGTACTATTGTTATTTGTAAATTATGTTCTTTAGATTATGTAATATATTTGTTTTATTAATATTGTTGATATATTTCAAACATATGTATCTAATTTTACATGTAAAAATTAAATTTATATAATTATATGTAAAATATTGATAAAATATAAAATTATAAGATTAGATGTAAGTAATTCAAAAGTTAAAGAACTGAAAAAGAAAAAAAAAGATGAAAGTTCAAATTTGTGAAATATGTTTATATTATAGCAAGAACCACCTTTTTCACTGTCATATACTGTCGATAACACCAGACTGAATTTGGAAATTCAATCGACCATACTTTTTTTTGTTTTCTGATTCTCACTTGCTATGAAATTTTTATCATTCATTCTTTTTCTGAGTTGGATAAATAAATACACACACCCCTGCAACAATAATAAAACTTATCTAGAACTAAGCTTTTAACCCGCACTACGCTCAGATATGTATTAATGGTTTGATTTAATTCGTTTTTGATTACTATCTTTTAAATTATAATATATTTATATAAAATAAAAT